ATTCAGGTGGCTTACAGAATTTCACAGAGGGCGTAACTCTCTTCAGGATGAAGAACACACAGGAAGGCCGTAGTCAGCAGTAATCCCGGATGGCGTGTCTGCCATATGGAGAACATTAATCGATGATAATTGCTACACCTGGCAAATGATACAAAAAGAACTTGACATTGGATCCGCCGCCATATATTATTCATGGAGAATTGCATACGAAAAAACTAGTTTGCCGTTGCGTTCCCCATAATGTAACTGGGCACCAAAAAAGAGGGATGTGTCAGAACCAGTAAAGAAGCCCTTTAATTACCTAAGGATGATGGCCACCGCATGATTTCTAAAATTTTAACGAGTGATGAAACATACATACGATTTTTCGATGCTCCAACCCATCAAGAAAGATGAATCTTTGAAGATGATCTCACGCCCACAATTGTCAAAAAGCAGCGTGCCATGGAAAGGTAATGTATGCCGTTTTCCTCAGAAGTGCAGGACTGGTTATAACCATCAAGCTGGGAGGGCAGCACACAATCACTGCTAACTGATACACCACTTAAGTATCTTCCGGAAATTTTTCAAGAAGTGAATGTTAGAGGACTCAATGCTCCAACGCGGCAATGCATCTTCTCATTCAGCGAGGTTGACAGTTGAGTTTCTTGAACAAAAACACATCAAAGTAATAGAGCATCCACCCTACTCACCCGAACTAGCTATGTGTGACTCTTGACTATTTTTTAATATAAAAACGAATTTACGTGGGCTTCGTTTTCTTTCCGAAGGTAAGACTGATAAGGCTATAAATGCATGTTTTTATCTATTCCAAGAAATGAATGGCCTGAGGCATTTAATCATTCCAAAATTCACCTACAGAAGTGCATTGAGCTGCCGGAGCCTACTTTAAACACCCGTAAAATTATAATAAGTGTAATTTTAAAAAACTATGCGTATCTCAAAAATATCAAAGTGATCTTTGTATAATGTGAAACATTATGGCAAGCTTTTTAAGTTTTTTATATGCTCTATCCATAATTTGCATATCTTTGTTGTATAAGTAAATAAAGAACGTTTATGATTTCTGTGATTATTGCAAAGCCTCGAGGGATATCTGCCTAAGAGGATGGATGCCTTCTTGGAGGATTTTCTAAAGGAAACTGGCTCGTAGACACGTTACACATGGGGAAAACCACGAAAATGCCCATGCAGCCAGCCCGTTCGCGGGTGCGAACCTCGGACCAAACTACCAGTGTTCAACGACTTTACCGCTCGGCCGCTAGTGGGCTAAATAAAGAACAATCTATGTGTTTAAATTTGTGCCGCCATGACTGACGACTTGTCCGAGATTTCAGAATAATTAAAAGGCGTTTAATAGCCTCGCTCTCTACACACTCCATGGCAGCGACTGTTCGATGACATGTTGCGTGCGTTGTTATCCATGAAAACAAGTTTTTCATCGATAGAACATGCAAAACATGCGAACATGACTCAGCAGAATATCATTAATGTATTGTTGGCCAGTCATAGTCCAGCTGTCATGTGTAGCGGTGTGCGGCCATTTACCGTAGTGCCGTTCCATACCATGATATTGCATCTCGGATACAGGTCCTTTCTTGGATATTTTTCCGGACGATAAGCAGAACCACTCTCACGTCAGTTCAGTTGGCATATAATCCGGTAACAGACTCAACCTGCTCTCATTTAAGTATAGTACACAAACCCAGTTTTATTGAGTCCCATTACGATACTCGCGATACCATTGCAAACTTGCGGTACGTTGCTGTCTGGGCAATGGAATGCACACAACATGACGGAGGAGGGGCGTATAGTCCTTCTTGAAGCAAACGTCTGGCTACAGTTTTTCGGACGATTCGCTTGTCAGTAGTAGCAAATATCTGATTACCTCAGTAACTGTGCTGCACCAGTTCCCTTTTGTCGATAGCACTAGGTACATAGTATGTTAGGCAGACATCGTACTGCGTACACGACTTCCTCGTGACGTTTGCTACGTATTCCACTCATTTGAAAGATTTGCAAAGACACTGTGGCTGACGTCGGACCCCCTATTAATATTTGATATTTTTTGCTTTTCTTGAAGGTTGAAGTTCGTCAATTGATTCTGTCCTGTCAAATTTTGCTTTTGAACAAAACGGTCAATGCGCGTCAAATACGTCATATCTCTTATCAGCGCTATCATATGGCGAACAACTTCGGCAATCCAAAATCTGCAAATGCACAACACCTCTTACTGTATCCCGCGCTTATGCCTCTTTTCCCATTTTTCTCCCTTGCATTTTGAGGTTACTGTCGCTGCTACTATCTTTCGTCCTTATCAATTGAGCTGCCGAGAAGGTATAAGAAATTGACACGTTATAGCATCAAATCAAATGAAATAAAAGTGAAATGGGTAATTATCTCCTAATTTTTCGAAATATATGAAACAGTATTATTTGCATATTTATTCTGTAATATGCTAACCTGCCCTCAGAAATGGTATAATATGTGCAGTTTTCCCGCGTCAAATTTCAAGAGACAAAGGTGTGTGTAGAATATATGAATAAATAGGAAAGTATTTATTATTTAAGTTTATAACTTTGTAGAAACATTAGGATTTTCTGGAAGCCGAAGAGATTGAAAAATGAGCAACGCCTTCGCCTGGAATCGAACCACGCACCTCTGGAATACGCGCCCAGCGTGCAGACCACCACACCACGAAGACATGCGATTTTATTTTTAAATAGCGTAAGAAATACCTTATAACTTGCATTTAATTGGTTTACCCTGTATTTCACTATTGTAATAGTTAGCCACAGGGGCCATTTTGAAATTGCACCCTTGTCGGTATCACGATCTACGGGAAAGTTAATCAGTTTTCCTAATACTATTAATTTTCAATATTTTCTAATTTTGGATTAGTTTAAAGTTTTCATATATGTCATAATGACTGTGACGTATTTTTTGATGTTTCAGATATTTTAAATAGAATGAAATAAATATTAATTTGAGAAAATATCAACACCATTAAAGTATTTTTATTGATGATATACAAGGAGACTTAAAAAATCTGTGAAAAATGCAAAAGCGGATAGCGTAATAAATAGATTTTGTAATGGTATGCTTGTGCTTGTTGATGCGGTATAGACAAGCTCGTCGATGTGCATTTTATCTGTGGAATGCGGTTAAAAAGATGCAGTTACTTAAAGGATATTGATTCTAGTGTATCATTTTTGAACAAGTGTTTCGTTTTTGTCCGCAAGCCCGTAGATATAAAATGCATGTGAACGAACGCTGTATTTCTGGAGTGATGCACACACTTACATGAAAAAGTCCCGAGAGCTGCAAGCAAAATATTTTTCTTTTGTGTTGCAAAATTCACTGTTAACACTCTAGATAGCTGTAATATGATTTGCCATAGTCAACTAAACCCCACCATGCACCTTCTTTCTATGTTCTGGTCCTTCTTTCAACGTTCCTCAATTAGCGTGGCCAGTTCCCGGAGGACACAACACTAAGCTCTAAATGTAATTAATTCCCGGAGGACACAGTACTAAGCTCTTTATGTATATTTATTTATGTATTTATTTTAATTCCATCGACGGAGTCCAACAAGCTGAAAGCCACCTAACTCAGTAGGCCAGCTGTTAGTCGACGACGAAAAGAAAGAAAAGTCAACTAAACCAAATCAAGCCACATATGCCTTTTGTATTGATTGTAACTAGGCAGATAGCTCTAGTGTGATTTGCCATAGTCAACTAAACCAAACCAAGCCACACATGCCTTTCGTACTGATTGTAACTAGGCAGATAGCTCTAGTGTGATTTGCCATAGTCAACAAAACCAAATCAAGCCATATATGCCTTTCGTATTGATTGTAACTAGGCAGATAGCTGTAGTGTGATTTGCCATAGTCAACTAAACCAAATCAAGCCACATATGTCTTTCGTATTGATTGTAACTAGGCAGATAGCTCTAGTGTGATTTGCCATAGTCAACTAAACCAAATCAAACCACATATGCCTTTCGTATTGATTGTAACTAGGCAGATAGCTCTAGTGTAATTTGCCATAGTCAACTAAACCATATCGAGCCACATATGTCTTTCGTATTGATTGTAACTAGGCAAATAGCTCTAGTGTGATTTGCCATAGCCAACTAAAGCAAATCAAACCACACATGACTTTGGTACTGATTATAACTAGATAGATAGCTGTAGTATGATTTGCCATACTCAACTAAACCAAATCAAACTACATATGCCTTTCATATTGATTATAACTAGATACATAGCTATAGTGTGATTTGCCATAGTGAACTAAACCAAATCAAATCACATATGCATTTCGTATTGATTGTCAGGGTATAGTAAGACAAGAGGAGCAGCGTTTCTGTATATAAGTTGGTTTTCTTGAAATATTGTTAAACTCTTGACTGTTGATGGAGGACGAGGACACGGTGTATTTACAATGGAATAGTCAATTTTCCCTCACATCCAGTGAGAGACTCTCTTCAGAAGACAAACCATTCATCTGCATATTGTCCACTTTGAAAGCACTGCTATGCTGCATAATAAAAATAGTTGTATCAAGACATTCCAGAACGTAATAATAATTCTAAAACAGTCTTAAATATGCGCCATTTTATTCCTTAGTTTTTCCTAAAATATTTTCCTTGAAACATCACCAACCGACTGGGGAAGTGCGACTACATGATGTAATGATTATTAATAAATATGTTAACTAATTAAATAATACTATTATATTAAAATAAGCAACATATCTTGCATAATTCCAGTAATGCATTTTTATAAGAGAGATATGTACAAGCAAAAGAATTTTTACTTCCCGAATTTAAGAATTTACATTAAAGTATTTTAAAACATATTTAGAAAATGAAAATTACATATACTTTTATAGCGATATCTTATAATGATATCTGTAAAATACATATGCGTTTATAGTGAAATTAAACGAGAAATTAGCAATGAAAGTTTTTAATTTTAAATTTAATGGCTCTACCTTGGCATTTCTGATATTTTGGCGCAAACCCTGGTTGACATCTGCATGTGCCACCCCTATGATACCCGCAGTCAATTTGATGTGGACCGCAGTCACATTCTGGAAAGAAGTACATTTGATTATTAATTTCATGCAAAATTAATTACTTTGTTCATCAAAGTTAAAAAATTGCCTTACATAGAGTAATATTTAAGCTCGCCATCTAAGAAGGGAATTTAATCAACTGATTTTAAAAGTATAGGAAAAGAAAGAAACGTTAGAATCCGCGTGCTAGTGAACGTAAAGTCACTTTATAGCCTAAAATGAGATGCACATGTAATTGGATGTGTCACAAATTGCGTAAATATTAAAAAATAGAGTAAATTAGTTAAAGTGGTGTAAAAAAATGTCAAAAATTTTTTTGTGTCCAAATTCCATAAATTTAAAAAATGCAATTAATCAGTTAATGACGTGTCTAAGAAAACGAAAAAAATTTATGTGTCATAAATTGCATAAATTAAAAAAAAACAATTAATCAGTTAAGAAAAAGCAAAATTTTTTTATGTGTCATTAATCGCATAAATTTAAAAAATGCAATTAAAAAAAAAACAAAATATTTTTATGTGTCATAAATTGCATAAATTTAAAAGAAGCAATTAATCAGTTGTAACGGTGTCAAAAAATCCAAAAATGTTTGCGCCGTAAACTGCATAAATTTTAAAAATGCAAGTAAAAAAAATCAGAATCGTTTTGATGTGTCAGAAATTGCATAAATTTTGGAAATGCAATAAATTAGTTTAAGCTGTTTGAAAAAAAATCCAAAAATTTTTATGCATCGTAAGTTGCATAAATTTATAAATGCAATAAATCAGTTAAAGCATGTAACAAAATCAAATTTTTTTTACCTTATATCCTCCTATTTACAAATTCTATTTTAATACTGAGAAACGATATCTAATGAAAGTACATCTTCACTCATTTATATAGCAGTTAGTTACTTTGTCTGTGAAATGCACGATCATTTCTTTTTGTTGGTTTCGCGAACAGACCACTAGATTTCTCTTAGTTCGTCAGCAGTTTGTATTTTGTTCACATAACCACTCAGTTGACAAATAACCCCATACAAAGATTATGCAATGTGCGAAGTCACAAGACCGGGCATCCAAAAATCATAAAAAATCAGTAAAGCCCCTGAATATGATGTGTGACTTTAATAATAAATATCTTGGTCAATTTTTACGGGAAAACAAACATTTTGTGTTTTATTTTTAATAACAGGTATGCATTTTCCTACAAATGAGTAGAGACAGCAAATCTTGTAAAATGTTAGATTTGGAATATTTACAAAATTTATTTCTTTAAATTAAAAAATGCCTCATCATGAATCTTTGAGCTGTTTAAAACACATTTGTAACTAGCAGTGTATGTTTATGACCATCTGTTACGAAAATAAAGACAGGGTAATTGTTTTTATGGAACGGTATACATAGCTGAAAGATTGCGGTTTGCTGTTGGATATTATATTTTGAAGGACAGATTACCTCCTTGTACGAAGTAAAGAAAGTATTGTAATCACTAAAAATTCCGGGTTTCATAATTCAACACAAATATCCATTTTGACCGCTATCGATTGCAATTGAACGATGTTTTTGCCTGACATCTGTAGGTGAGGATAGAAAAAAAGGAGTCTTTTTCCCTAAACGACTTCTAAAACAAATTTAGAATGTATTCAAAAAAAGATTTTTTCTCGGCGTCTGTACATTGCACGTATTTTTTATATAGGGCTGCTTTAACATATAGTTGTGCACCTCCCTTTTTGGTCGCAATCGGCTGCACCAAAAGTATATAAACTAATATATATATATATATATAACAGAGTGGTAGGAGAGAGTAACAGAGTGGGTATATATGTAAGAAAAAGAATATGTAAAAAATTAAATAAGCAACGTAAATTAATTTCCTTTCTCTATTCTGAAAATAGCAACATCTATTCTCACTGAGTCATTTCCAGAAAAATCTATGTCATGTGAGTCTTACGTAATTATGATGATGTAAGCCAGGGATGTCAAACTCATAGGTACACTTGGGCCAAACAAACAAGGTTTAACTTTAGGCGGGCCGCAAAAAAAAATCAATATTCATAGAAACGTAGATCTATTTCGAATAATACAATAATAAACATATATATATATATATATATTTATATAGAAAAGAACAAGAAAAATTTAATGTTTACGTCCTGATACTTGACATATATTCTCTGCTATTATCTTTCCTATTTCGGGAGAAATTTTGTTTGCAGTGATAACTTACAACGCTGACCTAAGGTGAGCATCATTAATACGGTTTCTAATAGGAGACTTATTACCTTTCATGATTGAAAATAATTGCTGGCACAGATAAGTGCTATAAGTGCAGATAAGTGCTGGCTGCATGGGCGTTTTCGTGGTTTTCCCCATGTGTAACGTGTATACGAGCCAGTTCCCCTTAGAAAGTCCTCCACGAAGGCATCCCTCCTCTTAGGCAGATAGCCCTAGTGTGCTTTGCCATAATTAAATACACCAACACCTTCGTAATTGTTATATTTCGATTTGTGTTGTTCGTAATGACGTTTAAAATTATATAACTTTGGTAAATTAATAGTATTATTACATATCAAGCAGATTATTTTATCTTTTATTTTACAGCAAAAATATTCTAATTCCCATTTTACTTGGAATGTTCTATGTTCGTCAGTGATTTTTCGTTTAATTTTAGTACTACTTGGTTTTGATATAGACATACTGAATACAAAGGGCTGGAATAAACACGGTTAACGTTAAAAAGTTAACAAAAATTTATTCTTTCCACAAGAGATAAATCAAAATGCTGAACTATTTCTTCAAAAATATTCTAACAATATCACAAAATGTCAAACGTTTAGCAAAAATCAATTCAAAACAGAGAAACTAATTCTATCTCACAGCGAAATCGCTACAAATCATCACAGCATTAAGTAAACAAACAGTTCGCTAGAACTACAGCTACTACTGAGATGAGTTGTTTTGTTCTCGGCTTTTATAAGCTTTATAAGTAATTTCTCGAATATACTGGAAACATCTATAAATATCTGGATTTTTTGTGGATGGCAACAGCAATTACGAGATATTTTATTTATTAGGTATTAAATGCACGCGCTGTTCTATTTTAACCTTCCAACGCAGCTGTCTTTTCAAAAATCGTCGGCGTTGCTAAGGCAACATGAAGCAAATCTAATTACAATTCTAAATAAAAAAACTAAATAAATAAATAACTATGAAATCCGTAACAATATAAATTAAGTAATAATAATAATAAAGCAAAGTGCATGCCCATGCATGCACCAATATATCGTACAGAACTATGATTGGAAAACTGAGACCATGAGTTCGGCTATCGGGGATGCGTACAAGTTCTGAGTGCACGTGTCCCCCAAAAGCCGAAGGTAGCTGAACGCAAGCTACTCACACGCATTTGTAATTAAGTAGTGTGTGTGTCAGCTCGCTGTGAGTAATCTAACAGCACTGATAAATTATCGTTAATTACTTAGCAGTAAACATTTCATTTTTTTCTTCGTCGATATGTTATTTTATTATTATATATTATTATTTGCCGATGTATTGGCCGGGCCCGCAAAAATATTTGTTGTGGGCCGCATGCGGCCCGCGGGCCGCGAGTTTGACATCCTTGTTGCAAGCGGAACTAAAACTCTTAACAGCCAATAATAATTTTACAGAGTTGAAGATTTAATCTGTGTTCGCCTCCAAATTTATTATTCATTGTCAGTTGTAATAAATTCAAACTCAGACTCACTGTAATACGTATATTCAAGAGCAGGAATTTTGATGTCGTATTAGTGTTGATCCATAATTACTAGGAAATTGGAGGCGAAGGCACATTAAATCTTCAGTTTTATTTTCGGCAACATGTTGCGGCTACACACAAGTTGGCACATTAAATGTGCCTGTTCCAAAAGGCTTACATTTTTGATAATTTTGTTGCAAGAAAGCAGAGCAGACAGACAGCAGTGTAGCTAGGCCAAAGCGTGGAAAGCAAGTGCGTAATGTTCAGGATGGAATCTTAAGTCAGACTGATTTAGTTTTGGTTCTCAAAGCATTTTGATTGGATGGTTAATATTGCTGTAAAATTATTATTGGCTGTTAAAAAGTTTTAGTTCCGCTTACCTCATCATAATTACGTAAGAGTCATATGACATAGATTTTTCTTCGAAATTGACGCAGTGCGAATAGATGTTGCTAATTTTAGAATAGAGAAGGAAAGATTAATTTGACTCTGCTAATTTAATTTTTTGCATATTCTTTTTCTACATATATACATATATACATATATATATATATATATATATACACCCACTCTGTTACTCTCTCCTACCACTCTGTTATATATATATATTAGTTTATATACTTTTGGTGCAGCCGATTGCGACCAAAAAGGGAGGTGCACAACTATATGTTAAAGCAGCCCTATATAAAAAATACGTGCAATGTACAGACGCCGCCGCGAAAAAATCTTTGACCCAACTCTGTTACTCGCCTCGAGAACTTAGTTTTTTTATTCTTCCATCTTGGTAAATTGTGCGTTTTTTTTTTTTTTTTTTTTTTTTTTTTTTTTTTTGCTTTAAAAAATGATTGAATTATGTTGTTCTTATCTTCCGCTGTAAGGTTTTTATGTTTTTAGTTAATCTGCATGAAATAGTTGTAGAATTATCAACAATTAAAAGTTGTTTAAGTGCGGCTAAGCTTAATTTTTTTTTACCATAGCAGCCATATTTATTTATATTTAAAACTTAGCAGAATAGTCAATTGGGTCAGTTTCTGCACTTCAGTGTCTTTTTGCCGAGTGGAACCAAAATATAACTTTTAGTTTTGTGCACCGAAAAATCTCCCTTCTTGTCTGCTGGCAAAATTGCTTCTTTTTGCGTATAAATTGTAATTTTAATTTTAATTTATTTTTTTAACATTGTTTTAACCCTATTTAGCATTTTTTTGAAAGCTTTTTTTCTTTTTTTTTTTTTTTTTTTTTTGTATATCTTTCAATTTTTAATGAAGATAATTTAAAATTTCATGCATTTTTGCCTTGCCACGAAGTGAGAAGCGAATTAATTGAATGAGAAATCTATCTCTAATGAAATCCGAGGAAATACGTTTAAAAGAATGCAGAAAAAAATGCGTATAATTTAACACTCCGTACAAGGAAGTCGTGTGGTGTACACATCAGATTTTGTTATTAGAATGTCAGAGTTTTAAAATATGTACAACGAAGTCAATCCACAATACCTTTGCATTCTCCAAAGAGACTAGAATAACCTTTTGCACAGATGCAATGTTTACCATTCTCGTCGAAGAAGCATCCGAAGGAGTTAGTTAAACAATCACATTCTGAAAAATAAAAATAAAAATGAAACAAAATAAAATCTGAATGCTTTCAGGCTTTAGGCTAAAAATATTTAAAAACAGCATATATTCTGAATTTTCGATAGCCAGTCTCACGCGCTGGAAATAATTTTTTTTTATTCCCTACAGAGTTGCCACTGTTCGCTTTAATATTATTGAGTTTTTAAATAAAATATGCCTGAAAGTTTTACAGAGTATGAAATGGACAATAAAATAAATTCGAAATTCGGGTTCACAGGTGCCCATCTTCGGGTGGAAGACCATGTTATTCAAAATTTGATGACTTTAGGTACCTTTGTTTTTCCCAGTGCGAAAAACGTACAAACATTCACGTAGAGTTTTCAGTATTTAATTTCTTTAAATATAATACAAGGCGATAATATTTGGTGGCAACAATTTGAAAAGTGATTGGACACGAAATGCCGTTTCGAAACTAATATCTCTTCTAAGATAACTCCCTTTTGGACTAAGAACTATTCTGGTACATGATTATTGAGAAAAAGAAAATGTATCCAATAAAATATGCATATTTTCTAGGGCCCTCTAATTTCAATAATTAGGTGATTATTCATCTAAAAACTGCTTTATACTTGAATGCTGGTGAGAGGGTTCTCCCATGGGATACCATAATTCCAAAATATTGTAATTGAAAGTAAGAAATACTGTTGTAACATTTTGTGTTATTCTCAAACATATATAAAAGTTTCTTTCCCAACAGTTTGATGTAACACGCACATAATGTGAGGATTTGGTGATCCGAAAATTGAGGTCACAAGGTATATGTTAATTTTATAACAGTTATCTTGATTTTAAAATCCTTTCCTTTCAGTTCTTCTTTCCACTAACAACTCCAATGAGCTTTTAAGAGTCGCGTTGAATAGAAATGAGTTAGAAGAAGCATTAAGGAAGGTTCTACTTTTTTCGATAGAGAGAGCTAGCAGTCCTTAGAGGGCGTATTTGGCTTCTGGCTAAGTCACTCTTGAAGCTGTTACGCTCGACCTCATTATACGTGCCTATTGATATTCGCCAGCTATTTTAATTTAAGGGCCAACTACGTTCGAAAATCGTGTTTAGCTTCGGCTAAGTCTCGCTTAGCAAATTATGGTTTAGGTTCATAATTCTTATTCTGAGTTAAACCCCGAGTAGAGGCTTTCCTGTAAGCCCGAGAAGAGACCGACTGTTGTTCTTGTTTCAGTGAATAAATACTGCACGCTGGGCGCGTATTCCAGAGGTCCTAAGTTCGATTCTCGGCGAAGGCGCTTGCATATTTTTCATCTTACCTGCTTCCAAAAGAAATACCTAATGTTTCTACAAGTTTCATAAAAGAAATTTTAAAATCATATATATGATATACATTCTGAATTTTGTATACATATTTAATTTTAAAAAATTATGATTATTCATAGCTTTCATTCACAAGATTAGAAGATGCAGTTATGTAAGCTAAATTTACCATTAAATAATCATAATAGTCGAAAATTAATTTATTAAAATTATTTCTTGAAAAATTTTTAAATCATGAAAATTTGAATGTGTTAAAACAGCTGATCATATATATATATATATATATATGAGACATATATATATGTGTGTGTCTCAGTAAACCTTTATTATAATCTTCTAGGTTTAACTTCCTAACTTATAAATGAATATTTTAATACAGTTTGTGAATTTATGTTACTGGTAGTTTGTCTACTTGAGCATAATATGCATATAAAATCGAATAATAAGTTTTAATATACATTGAAATAAGAAAAAAATTAATTCAACCCTTCTCGAGCCTACGTCGTAGTTGTTCTGAACTCAACGAGAAGTCGCTACATAGTTCACTACAGTCCGTCTGTCATAAGAAAAGCTCTCGCCAGTTAGTCTGCAGCTGTTTGTTGCCGTAGAAACGAGTCTTCACCCATTTTTTGTAGGGGTGTCTTGAAGATGAATGATAAACTCTTTTCCCCTCAGCAAACAGTTCCCCAAAACAAAATAACAATAAAGTAATCATTAATTAGCCCCTATTTGAAATACACTAGTCCTGTTGCTATAGCGACCGCCACCTGCCAGATACTCTGGCGGGGCTGTTCTTCTCGTAGACAGACAGTATGTTCCTCGGCGTTTTATCATACACAAAGGGCAAAGAACCCTACAAGGGAATTGAAGGGGAGTAGCTCCGAAGTGAATGTTTTACGCGGGGTGTTGCATGAGAAAATTTTAGGACAATATTTCCTTCATGAACAAACATTGAAGGATTTATTTATTTTTAACTCATCAATTATTTTATATTCAATACTTGATTGTCTTTCTCCTTTCCGTTTTCCTGCCTGAATGGAAATTTTAGTTCGCGCGTATTCAAATGTGGAAGAAAGACATCGTATTTATAAGAAAGTTTCAGATTGTTTAATCACAGCGTATTCCGGCTGCTGAAGGCCACGTTAATAGTTGAAACTCTCGATAGCAGTCTGCGTACGGCATTGCATTATTCTCGCCATTGGGCTTGTCGCTCCAGTAAGGCAACTTGCGAGTTATTTTTTCTGCGTAGTCTTTAAATATCTTACGACTTATTTAACTTAGCTTTAATCTGAATTCACTACTTTTGAGTTACGGCATAAATGCTGGCTGGTTTTGTAAGCAAACGAAGTGCCTTCTGTTAAAGTGCTAAGTTTTAATAAAAGAGTCTTTTACACTTTTTTACGTTTCTCTGTCTTCGTGTTGAACATAGCGATATGTCGCTTACCTTTCAGATTGAGTCTCATGTTAGTTTATGCTTCCGAAGAAGATGAAACTCTACAAGCAATAACAGTCGGAGTTTTTTAGATATATTTATCCATTGTATCTGTTTGTCGATATAGTTTGAAAGAGAAATATATCGCTTTTTGCCTAGATACTACACACTTTTCTTATGATACAGATTATTCTTTATTAGATTTGAAACATAAATAACTTCGCTTTACAGAGTGCCAACGGATTTTAATCACCAAGTTTGTTGGGCAGGAATTCCTTAAATTCGCATAAAACATTTTTGAAATTAAAAACTAATTTCAAATTTTAAACTCTGGTTTCCGTGTTCACGTGTTCGAATGGAGGATTCCGTGTGTGTAATATTTGGTGCAGACATTTTCCCGCAATGCGAGGAACATACATACAGAATCTTCATCTTTTATTATATAAGCGGCTAAAGTGTGTGTCGCCGATAGTTTATTGAGCCACTCAGAAAAATGAGCGCACAAAATTAACATTTCCGCAATTTTTAATTAATATCTCGGCCGATTAACGTCGTACGAAGATGAGAACGGTATCGATGGATTCGGAGAATTTTTTGGAATCCAAGGATACGCGTCTCGAATTTCAACTCGGCATCGTTCCGTAGATATTCTAGAAAAAAGAATTTAGCACGTAGCCAAATCCCTCTAATAGGGAAAACCCAAGAAAGAAAGTGGAAAATGTAGAGAACACGTAGGGGAAAATTAGTTTTTAATTAGTATCTCGGCTAATTAAAGTCCCAAAAAGACACGAATGGTCAAAATGGCATGTCCAATGGGTGTGCTTCGCTAAGCCCGGGAGCCAGCCGTTTCGGAGGAGATGATGTTACTTCACTCCATATATATATGCGGATTAAGTGTCTTTTTGTCGCCGATAGTTTATTGGTTTCTTGCGTAACTGTACCAGCCAATGGGGTGAAGTTGCCACGGCACAGGGTTGCCGTTTCAATTGAGGCGTAGACAATTTCCCATAAAACTTGCCTTTGCTATTACCATCAATAAGTCTCAGAGCCAAACGCTTAAGCGTGTTGGCATTTTTTTTTTTTTTTTTTTTTTTTTTTTTTTTTTTTTTACCTGAGCCTGCATTTGGACACGGTCAACTTTATGTTGCCTGTTCAAGAGTTCGTGAAAGAACGGACGTAAAATTAAAAGTAATGGATGGTCCTTTCCAAGGCGAGCTTAAAAATGATGGAAAGATATACACAAGAAATGCTGTGTACAAAGAGATCTTTGACATGGGAATTAACGTTTCATTATTTAAATCACCTTTATTTATTGAGCTAGCTGTGGCTCTTAAGAAATGTACCTTCAGTGGTTTCCTTGATTGCACTCTACTTTAAACAATTAAGAAAGTAGAAGGGGAAAAGCCTGTGAGACAGTAAGCAAAGGGTCGTCTTCGGCGCCTGGCCTGGGTTATTCAGTTTAAATTAGCAGACACCTTTGCACAAATCAATTAGTTACAATTTATAATATCTAGAACAGCGGACATTTTCAAATGTGTGGCCAGGCTTTCTAGTTACTTAATAACAGACGTAGAGGCCAAAGTTTTTCCTCTTGTTTGTTTCAGTGAAATTAATAAATAAATCTTATAAGCAGTGTCTTTGAATCGAAGAACTGCTGTATTTGCTCCAAAACGAATACGTTAAGTGACTGGTTATTCATCAATCGAGCAGATTTCAGACGGTGTTCACTTTTAAAAATGCAATTTAAAAGAAATATACATCGTGGAATGCAATTTCATTGTGAATAATAAACTCACCTACGCAGTATCCATTCTTATCACCAGTTCTGTAGCCGCAAACACATTCCTTACTACCGTTCGACGTTCTGCATCCAAAGCCGTAAGTACCACAACGACAATCTGAAAAGGATGAAGAGAATTACATGATTGGTAGACACAATCTTCATATAAAATACTTCCCTCTGCCCCCCTCTCGATGACTAGACAGGTACAGATAAAAATGTGTTGGGAGAACCACAAACTTCATTAAATATCGAACAGGTATAGCTGCCAGTCACTAACCAACTATAAGACGAAGAATAAAGCTGATGATAGTTCTTTTAGAGGGAAGTTTAGAAGTTTATTATTAACCCTTTGCGGCACAGTGTGCCCGGTCTGGACACACCTAAAAATTTCCTTCTGTACGCACAGAAAAACTGAATGAAAAAGAATTTATAGGTTACTATAGGTACCATCTTTATTTACTGAACCATCTTTACTTATAGTAGATGGCAGCTCAACACAAACCAGTTCATATATTTTAGCCATGTTTAGTTCTTTTAAGACCCTCATTTTTCAAAGAAACCTTCCAGATTTTTTTTAGGGTATAAAAGGAATTGTTTGAAAAGATACTTCTATGTTATTTTTTGGCTGTATGCTAATCTCCTTATTCTATATTAGTTTTAAATTTTTACCTTCAAATCTTGCCTTAAATCAAACGGCGGACCTTAGGTGTGTCCAGACCGGGCTCACCGATAATCTAGGACAACTGAGAGTCTGTATTCTTTGTTTCTCCGCATCTCATCGGTCAGTGCATTGACAACAAAGCTCGTTTCAGCACTCTTTTCGAAGCTCTATTCCAATCAGTGTGCCCACTTTGTGCACACCCACAGAATTAAAGCGATAAGTGCTATCTTCACAAAATTTTACTTGTGTACTCCTCTAGGCCTAATTAGACTGCCTACGTTTCTTTTCTTTTTTTAATCAAAACTCCGACTTTAAAAGGTAGCGTGCCGGAAAGGATTAAGAGAGGAGGATTAAAAAGAGCTAAAGGTTATTAGAAGAAAATGAAGAAAGCTAGAAGAAGGGTCATTAGAAGGGTTACTGTGTAATGGGTGAATCAATTATTAGCCCATCGGGATGAGATCAGATCTCGAACACTTTGTACCTTTGAGAAAGGAGAGAAACCTAATAAAGCAAGTTTTACTTTAAGTTAGCATAGAATATATCATATGACAAATTTAGAATAATACTTAATGTATAAAAAAACAGAAAATAAAATATAGAATAATACATAATGTGTCATATAATAAAATTTTGAATTTTCCAAATTTGGAATAAAATGCGAAAATATAGAATATATCATATGACAAATTTAAAATAATACTTAAAATAGAAAATAAAATATAGAATAATACATAAAGTATAGAATAATACATAATATATCGCGTACTAAAATTGAGAATTTAGAATGAAATGTTAAAACATAGGATAATACATAATGTATCCTATAATAAAACTAATAAAATGGAAGTATAAAATGTAGAAGAGAATAATATTGTATTTTAGAGTTCATGATCACAAATAGTTTTCAGTATTCATTAGGCAAAGTTCCTGAGCCATTAAAGTGTTCATAATTATAGAGTTCACAAAGAAAAAAATTTCATGGTTCGTGTATTTTACATGACTCATACAATATTCATGACTCATTTTTATCATGACACAGCAATCAACATCATGGCTCACTTTTTCAGTTCTAATTTGCTCTTATGACTCAATTTTTATATTTCATTTCGTTTATTACGTATTTGTAAGTATTTTGTTGTTACGATCAATGTAACTAAGTATTTATTACAAAAATCGATAACTGATCTTTAAAATTCTAAAAGGTTGAAAATTAAATATTTTGTTATATTTCGTTTGTTGTAGATAGGTTTACTCTGCATAGATCTAATCCATTTGTGTTACGTTTTTGATGAATTTCTTTCATATTAGAATTAAAATTCTGAAGTTTGATGATCACCCTTTTGAAGGATATATCAATATTTCTGGATGTACGAATATGAAAATTTATCGTGAGAGGACAAGAGACCTTTCTAGCCTCGTATACAGATATCAGTGTCTATTAAATTCGTTTGATGAAAATAAACAGGATATGCCCATGGCCAGTAATAAAACTTGTCAAAAAGGATTTTGTACTCTTGGTGTCAGTATTGTAGTTGAGGTAGAACTGGTATGTACGTCGTCCTGTAGATGCATTATTCCATTGTTTTGCCATATTTGAGTAATTTGTTCTTTTACAGAGAATCAAGATAAAATTTGGGGAATTTTATATATAGAATATTGCTTTCTTGATTAAGAGCAACTTTTTTGACAAAAAATGTGGATCGCTTCACGATTTTGCGTGTCAGCCTTGTGCAGGGGCCATGCTAATCTTCTCTGTATCATTCCAGTTTTAGTTATATACTGCCGAAGCAAGTATTCAAGGACTAGACACTTGCTCTCTAAGCTCGGAAACTCATATTCATTACCATTTAGCCATTAACTCGGTGGAAGGTGTTTGGACACACAAAAGCGACTGGCCACAGTGCCTTAACTCTTTTACAGCAAGTCAAAAGTTTTTAAAATTGTGCGCAAAATAACTAGAATAATACGAATAATTTATATATAGCTCTCTCTCTATATATATATATACAGAAAAGCAAGAATTTTTTATGAAAGAGATGTTTTAATTTATTTCAATGTTCCTCCTCCTGACGAAGTGGCTTTGAATTTGATTGATTTCCTCTTCTTTTATCTTCTATAAAGTTCATTAAGTTTTTGAATTAGGGTTTCGTTTGTTTGAAGTATTTTAATTTTCCCATTTTTAAAATTCTTTTACACATTTTTATGATTTTTTGAAATTTACTACTTATGAATTTCGGTTTGAGGTCTTTGTGTAAAATTAGTTTTAAATTTCTTATTTTATGTCTTTACTGATAATTATTCAGCAGCTTAATGAGCGAAAATACTAGGAATGCTTATATTATGCTATTTTAAAAGTTTTTTTATAATTATATATCTCTCTATATATAAACATTAGTCTTTAATGAGTAAGTAAGAAATGGAAAATGCACAGATAAGAAGCAGAACATAAACTATACAGAACTGTGCAATGAGAACTCAAGACATAAAAATACAAAAACATTACATAAAGAATAAAGTGAGCAAAAATGCATTAAGTTTCAGCAATAAAACTTGACTTTGAAATGGTCGTAGGCCTTTTTTTGCTATTGTTAAATTTAAGATCATAATTATATATTCTGAGTTTCAGTATTATTAAGATATTTTTTAATTTTTAAATGGAAGATTCTTCCTAGGTGGCAACAGAATCTTCTAAGCTGAGTGCAGTTTGTAACTACTTTCTACTAGATTTACAAGAGTAAGCCCATATTGGAAGGCATCTCATGATCGAGAACATTATCCAAAGTGCAACACACAGGTAACGAATGATATTACACTCTTCTGCTGTCGGCAGGGCAGCTGATTCACTAGATTTGGATTATTCGCTCTAAACTTGCTTCAAAGAATCTATTCATTTTACTTAGCGAATGAACAGTGAATACACAAAATGGAGTGTTAGCTCTTTGCTCTTTTTATAAGCATGGGAGAATCATTTGATTCATAGTATATAAATATTTAAATTTTTCTTTTTATTTACTGGAAATATATCTTACATTTTTATGTGTTAATGTGTGAGGCAGTGTGTGTGTGTGTATGTATGTGTGTATATGTATGCATATATCAGAGATGTGCTATTCGTTCACGAACTGATTCAAAGAGCCGATTCATTTTCTGAGCTAGCTAACACCTGATTCATAAGAAAATGTCCTGTAACTCTTTTAGATTTCACCCACCGAGATCTCTTGGTAGTTCAGTTCCCATTTTATAGAAGAAAAGAACGTTTATTCTCTTAAGTTAAAAGTGAGTTATTTTTATCATTTTCCAAGGTTTTGAAAATTTATTTTATTCTATAATTTCATTGTCAGTTTTATATAAAAAGGAAGTTTCAGGGTTTCTCAAAACTGCAGCTGAAAGAAAAAAGGCTAGGAAGGTAATGTTTGATTGAGTCAGCGCTTCCGATCCCATTGCTCGTTGGATTCTTTTCCTTCTTCACTTCATCCTCGCTAACCTTTCTTGATTGACACCTCGTTCATGGTCTTTACCTTCAAGGTTAAATCTACTGAGCGGTGAATCATATAACAGAAACGATCCAATTCAGTGAGCGAGCAGTTCTGATCTGATTGATAGAAAAATGGTTTTGACTACCCCTAGTACACAATGGGTAGTAAAAAAATATTCGAATTTTATATGATACGAAATGTGAATCTGCTGAGACTTATGGCTCATGTTTCGGACAGGGTGGAGCACTTGAGATTTCATTGCACCTTGCTACATTTATTGGTTTCAAATTATAGTTTTCGTAAACTGATGCATTTACAAAAAATTTAGTAGCTACTCTGTTTAAAATAAAGGCTGAAGCTCAAAGTGTTTAACCGCCGTGTTCCTTATGAATAAGTTTACTTTTGAGCAAGTCTTTTTTAGCATTTAAGCAAAACTTTTGACTTTTATTTTCTTTACTTGGCATCCTAATTCGGTTAACCGTTCTTTGAAGTTTATTGTATTTACTATGTATTGCAAAACAATTTTTATTTTTTTTTTTTTAAATTTTAACTCAATTTCTGTGTTTGTCTTAAATTTTGAGGATGATAATTTTAAATCTCTATTGTTAGGAATTTCTGTATATATGTAAATAATTTTAGTGAAACTATATTTAAGGTTCCCTTCCACATTCATTATACATGAAAATTTCTGCTAGCTTTTAATGTATCCTATTTCAATTTGGATGTATATTGGAAGAAAAGGAATCAAGGTACAAAATGAAAAGTCATTTTTAAATTAAAATCAAGAAAATATCACTTATTCATGACATTTTGAGGAACTTATATATAATAAGTTTTACGGCTAAACCCGTAACGGTTAACCGAAATTTCACGGCTAAACCCGTAACGCTCAGAGGGTTAAAACTGTAGTATTTTTTGCATAATGTAATATGAAATGCTAGAAAGAGACGATTCTCTGCCGAAAAAGTAAATTATCTCGCTAAATTGGCGAGTAAGTGCCAAGCTCGCGACGGTTTGGCGAATAATTTTTATCGCCAAATTCGGCGAGAACTTGCAAAAGTCACCAGAATTGGCGACATATGGGTGCGGTCCATGTAAAACTGTAATGGGTAATGTGATTGAATAAATGTAATTAATGTATATATGTAACTCTAACCGCATTCGGGTCTCATACACCTTAAAGTAATTTCAAAAAGTCGAAAGTACTAGAGATTTCTCGGGGGGGAAAACTATAGCAGACAGAAGAGAATATCGGATTCTCAGTAGTTGTTGGTTCAGAGTCGACTTCGGAGTCTTGTGGTAATCACCGTGTGAGTTTCGCTCTTTAGATGTCATTTGCATTGCGTTGAGTTTAACGATTTTAGTCGTTTGAAGTTTCAAGGAAGTCATGTGGTGACACATCAGAAATTTTTAATGTTATTTTATGTATATTTTTCTCCACTTTGGTCATAATTATACAAATACGTTTTCTCGGCAAACTTTAGTTTATTCCCCGAGTGGGTTTTAAAGAGAAATGCTCAGTATTGCATCTAGACTTCTCACCTTTGCAAGTTTTCGTGTCGTAATCAAATTGCAAATTTTTTGTCAGGGCATGCGCAGTAGGCTTTACCGTACATGCCGCCTGCGTAAGAACACTTGATACTAGTGTCAGTACCGCAGTCTAATTCATTGTTTTCACAGTCATCAATTAGATGGCATTTGTCACCACGCGTGCCGACAAAGCATTTGCAGTGTTTTGGTTTGCCGTCTTCTTCCAGACAGTACCCGTACACGCAGTCAGTGTCATCTGTGCAGGTTTCTGAAAATAAAATATTAAAACGGTTAAAAAATTCGTAGAGGTTTATATCTGACACATTTGTACAGATTTAAGAATGCTTTTATCTAGTCTAAAATTTGCGATATAAATTTAAATGCTAACATAAGTTACTAAGCAGATCATGATTAGATTCTTTCCAATATGTCTATTGAATTCAGAAGTCAAACAACAAAAATCAGCGTTATATTTTCAAATTTTCACAGCGACATTTTTCACCCAACATTATTAATCAAGCAGTTAAAAAATTCTTATCTCAACACACTAAAAGGCACACTCCTGTTTTAGGAGATTATAAAAATTCTGTTGTCATTCCCTTCTTTCCATCAATTAGCTATAAAATTGCACATATTTTGCAGAAATTTAACTTTCGGGTCGTTTATTCTCCCATCAATAAAATTCCGAGTTCCATCCTCAAGGATCCCATTCCGGATATGAATTCCTGGGGTATTTATAGGATTCCTTGCCAGTGTGGTTTACTTTACATTGGCCAAACTAAGAGAGCCTTAAAATTTCGTGTCAAAGAACATAAGGCATATTTTAGAAAAAAGGAAACACAGAAGTCTTCTGTTGCCCAACATTGTTGGTCCAAACATCACACTTTAAATTTTTATGCTGCCAAAATTATTCAAACATCTTCCATTGGTGAACTGGATTTTCTAGAGGCATTTCACATTCACTGTGAAAATTTGAAAATATAAGGCTGATTTTTGTTGTTTGACTTCTGAATTAGTATTTGTTCCGCGTGTTATTGTGTTTTAATTATGTCTATTGAAGACAGCACATGTTGAAGACAGCAGATCACATCTGAGAATTCATAAGGCAAATACAGTCAGTTTACTATATACCGTGGCAATACCGCATTAGAGTAACTTAAAATCATAACTAACTGGCAGTTAGAAGAAGCTCAGGAAAGAGATATAACTCATATTATAATTTAGAGAGTTCCACCTTATAGATTCTAGTGCTTTTAGGTCACATAAACTAACAAGCTCTAAAAAAGACTACACAACAAAAAGTCAGAAGAAGGCTGTACATATCGCTTTATTCAATCATATACAGCTGAAAAGATGGCACCGCTTGGGCTTCCATAAATATAACACTTCTGGTTTAATTCCAAAAGGCAATGAACTTAAGATAAAATTTAATTAAACTAGTCTAACGGTTCACAAGATGATTTAACGCGCAGGAAGGCTCTGAATCGCAGAAGCCGGCAGAAACAAGTTTAATGGCTAGAAGCATTCAGTGCTACAGTATCAAACCGCCAGTAATTCCGAGTAACAACGTGGCCTACAAGCAGGCATAACACGCTCTAATGTCACCTTCGAAAACCTTCACTTATAAGCAGTTCTTTCTACCTTAATTTGATTACACGCGTGATATCTGATTAACACCTTGGCAGGAAAGCTTGGGTGAAAACGAGACAAAAAAAAAGTTACTTTAACCAAAAAAAAAAAAAAAAAAAAAAACTGTTTCTCAAACTATATAAATCCTTACAATCTTCTTGGGAAACGTACTCTAAGTCGAGAATCTAGAGCAGTGGTGCCCGACCTTCGGCCTATCGCGAGCACATTTCCAAAACATCAACATTTTTGTTAAGCATATTTCCAATCTTATGTGATACATCCGAAATATTAATTTCGGCAAATGGGTTTGAGATGAATAATAATATTGGTTGAACTTTATGGAAATCAGAGAAGCGGAGTTCAAAATTATTTTTCAGTGCATTTAGGTTTTCTGAGTATTTCTCTGTTTCAATTGCCTTGTGGTTAATAATATGGCTTGATAAATTCTGAAAATGGGTAAATTTTTTTCTTTCATCTGATTTATCCACAAATTTAACTTTATCTGAAAAACAGTTACAGTCCCAGTCAATTGAGAAAGGGCTTTTTGTTTTTATGGTAGATCTTCGTTCAGTTTATTCAGTTTAGCTGTTATATCCTTGAAAAATGCAGATCAGATAACCAATTATTATAGTCCAATTTTTTATAACTTTCGTTTCCGGATTCCAAAAACTGCTTTATCTTACAAGCTGCAAATCGTTGAAGAACTTTTCCCCTGCTGAGTAATCTAACATCGGAATGAAGCAATAAGATTCCATTTTCGCTATCAAGCTAATCAGTCAGTAATCAATTATTTTATAACGTCTTACAAGATATCTCTTATGACTATAAATGCTTACCATATTATTTTAACAATTGATGATGATGATGCCGTGTCTATGACAAAGTGCAATTATATAGCTTCAAAGCTGTCAAAGACAACTTTTGCAACCTCGGCAGCTCTAACAATATAAAGTAGGTCCACTGGGTCTTCAATGCCGATGCTAAACAATCTGGCCTGGATTGCTGGGAAGCTGAAGATGTGATGGCGAGACAGTGGGATGTCATCTGAGCAAGGAGGACAAATGTTGGTGTAACTACGCTTCCGTCTGCAGAAATCCTCATCCCTTTCAAGTGATTTGTCCTAAGTCTGGCTATGATAGTCGATATCGCTCTGTCACAGTTCGATTCCGGAATGGAGTTTCCTTTAACTTGACCGATTAGTCTTTGACTGGCAACTGCATTGGCATCAACGAGGGTTAGGCAGTTGGATGGCTGAGGAGAATCACGGGGTGCCTTTGCAAGCTCATCGGCCTTCTCATTAACAAAAATATATTAATAGTTAAGAAATATAAATGAATGGTAATTTTTGAAATATTTTTTGTTCATAATACCTAATCGGGCTGGCCAGCACATACAAAACGATCCGCGAGCACTTGTGCTCGCAAGTACATTGTTGAGCACCGCAGCTCTAGAGGACTAAAGCGAATTATCGCTATGCCTTGTTAATCAAACAGAAAACGTAACAAGGGTGTAAAAGATCCTTTTATTAAGAGGATGAGAGATGTCAAATATTTGACCAAAAGGAACTTCTTATGCTTACAAAGTCAGCCGCCATTTACGGCGTAACTCAAAAATAAGGAAGTACAAATTAAAACTAAGATAAGTCGTAAAATAATTAAAGTTTAAACAGAAATTATTATCACGCAATTTTGCTGAAACCTGTACTGACGTGATAAACACTACTGGCAAGAATAAAGCAAAGCCGAAGACAGATAGCTATCGTAGAATTTCAACACTAGTAACTTGGCCTTCAGCAGGGGGAACACGCTCTGTCTAAACAATATGGTGTGTGTATTTAATTATGGCAAAGCACACCAGGGCTATCTGCCTAAGAGGAGGGATGCCTTTCGTGGAGGACTTTCTAAGGTAAACTGGCTCGTATACACGTTACACATGGGGAAAACCACGAAAACACCCATGCAGCCAGCCCGTTCGCGGGATTCGAACCTCGGGCCGAACTACCAGTGTTCAGCGACTTTTACCGCTCGGCCGCTGGTGGGCCCGTCTAAACAATATGAAATCTCTCTTTAAATACTATCGCTTTCTACCGCATTTGAAAAATCGCGAATTAAAATTAGCAATCTGGCAGGAAAACGGAAAGACAGAATGAGAGTAAAGACACATATCGTAAAACAACTGGTTAGATAAAATAAATAAATACCTTACAAAATTAAATGAAAAATTTAATAATTTAATAATTATGTGATTTTAATCAACCAGATATGGCCGGTAAGCTCACTTGGTTAAATAAATTAAATCAATACTCAAAACAAAAGGAACACACTGTAAAGTATAGAAGAATAAACAACATTTGAAAAGGAGAAACTCTGTTAAGTGTGAGATTAAATAATTATATTTACATCAGAAGTTCACAAAAATATCACTGACGTTTTGAATTAACACTCATGTAAAACAAAATCATCTAGAGCATTTTTGTGGGTTTAGGAATTTCATTTGGCAGAAATTGTGCGTTGCCATTACATGGAATTTTTTTTTTCAGTTTCCATACAAGCAATTTTTACGGGCAATTTTACTTCCTTGTAGGAAGTCAAAGAAGTATACTAATGCTAAGTAACGCACGTACGTATGTATGTAACTCCCATAACTCAAAAATGACTAACCTCAGAACGCTGAAATTTTGTGTATCGGACTGCTACGACATATAGTTGCGCAACTCGCTTGCACCAGACGTAGATATACATATACATACGCACTCTGTTACCAGGCTCAGTGAGCTCAGTTTTTTATTCTTATATATTGGTGAATTGTGTATTTTTTGCTTTAAAAGTGATTGAATTATGTTGTTCTTAATTTCGTGCTAAGAGTTTTATCTCTTTAGTTAATCTGTATGCAAGAGTTGTAGAATTATCAAAAATTTTTTTAAATTTTAATTGGTGCTAAGCCTAAAAAAGCCGCCATTTACTTACATCTGAAACTCTTAGTAGATAAGTGAATTAAGTCAGTCTAGGCACCATTTTCCGTCTTTTTTCCGAGTGAGAGCAAACGTAAAGGTTAAGTTTTGTGCACAGAAAAATCTCTCTTCCTGCCCGCTGGTTGAATTCCTTCATTTGTGTTGAAATTCTAATTTTAATTGTAAAATATTTTTCTTTACTGTTTTTAACTGTATTTGGTGTTTTATGCTTTTCTGTATTTTACAGTTTTTAATGAAGATGTTTTGAGTTTTTATGTATTTTTGCCTTACCGCGAAGTGAGAACGGAATGAATTGAATGAGAAATATATTTCTAATGAAATTCAAGTGTAAAATAAATTCAGGAAACAATGTCTATAATTTAATAGCCGTACAAGGAAGTCATGAGGCGTCCACATCAGGATTTTGCTTTTATTGCGTCGATTTTTACTTCTTTGCACGAAGTATAGGAAGAATTGTAAAATTTTGGGTATCATGCTTCAACATAAATATC